AGTGCTTGGTTGAATGCTGTAAATTATCCTAACTACTATAACAGAGGACTTAGGACAAGGTGTGTCCATCTGGTTCGCCCTGGCAACACAAGCAAGTTGCAAAAAGGTCAGACCACTTTTATACAACGAAAGGTGACTGCAACCAAGACAGAGACTACATCTTGGTCTTCATATCTTCATTTATGGAATTTATTTAAAAAAGAATGTTGAAAATTTTATTATTTGAAAATTATTTCTACTAGTTACTAACCTAGGTGGCATTTATACTCAGTTTGGTATCTCACTTTATATTATGCCGATGAGTAACTAGTGCTTCTTTTAAATTAATTTTTGTTGTCACTCCCTATGTAAAACTTTTTTTCTATTCTTCTTTTTATCTAAGTGGAAAAAGAAAATAAATTGACGGGGAGGTCTCAGCCGTTAGTCCATTTCACCCGTAGACTGGTGTATAAAATAATAAATCGTCTGAGTCTCATCGCCCTACTCGACTTAGTGACCTTTGGCACCACGACGCATCTGATTGTGGGCGCTGCAAGATTCTGCATCTTGACGTTGTGCAATATCAGCTTCTGGCCTGATCTCGTCAATCGGAAAAGAAATGCCATCCAGAATGCCCTCAGCCTGAGCCAAAAATCGCATACCGACCTGTTCGGGCGGCTGGATCTCAATGTGAGGAATGACGAGATGCAAGCGCCGGTCGCGTTGGCAACACTGCCAGTGATTTCAACTCTGTTGCTGGTGGCGAAATGGCTGTTGTTGATGCGAGCCTTCTACCTGATTGCCAGACTGGCCTTCTCTTTGGTGCGTATTCAACGACGACTGTCGAAAAAGCGGATCGCTCTGGCGGAACGTCACAGTCGACTGAACAGCAAACTGGTCGGACTGGACAGTGCCGTTGCCGTGGGCGATGGCAGACCGGTCGACTGGGTCGACGAGGTGACCCGACTGCCGTTGTCCCAGCTCCGTCGGCAGCTGCAAAAGCGTCAGATCACCGCCATCGACTTGCTGGACGCGTTTCAGCGCAAAGCTCTGGCTCTGATACAGTCACAGACGGGCTGTATCGCCGAGATCATCTACGGCGCTGACGTGGACGCCATCTACGCGGACGAGACGCTCGACTCGAAGCTGCCGAATGCCACGACGCCGGCTTCTCTCTTGCATGGCATCCCGATCAGTCTGAAAGAGATGATACCGGTTTGCGGCTACGATCACACCATGGGATATGTGCACAATGTAAGTGGGCTGGCGTTTTGCAGGTCCATTCGCGGGATGTATGACATTCCGGTGATGTTTCGCATTGTAGATACGAAGAGTGACTGAATTTCGATGAATATTCTCTCATAACATTGTTGGATAGACTTTCGTTTTGTACAAAACTGCTTGAAGAAGAGATTCGAAGGTGGATCCTCTAATGGACATCATCTCGCCTGGAACTCATTCTTGTAAAAGTCTCACATTAATAGCACCGGATCTATCTTACCTCTTGTATAGACTCAATTAAACAGACGTAAATTAATGAGAATGATTTAGCTAATTATCCTACATATTGGTCGAGTGTGTGTGTGTTTGTGTGTGTGCGGGTAGTCTGGAGCAGGGTGTATCCTTGATGCTAAAAAGCTTACTCATTCTAGTGTTGCTTCCACGTCGTTTTCGCCATAGTATTTGTGATTTTCAGCATCGGAACATTGACCTGATACATTCCCATACGTTTCGCTGAGAGAAAGAGATACAGCACTAGAAAGTAGCACATAAAAAAGGGGCTATACAACCGTTGAACAGAAAATTAATTGAGGAGATTACCTTTACTTTTCATGTTGATGAGTTGTAATTCTGTACTGACAATGCCGATGAAACGTTTGAGAATTTGCCGATTAAGTTGCGAAAGCAAGGTTGAACTAACACAATCTAAAGCTGAAAGAGACTGCGACCAAACGGAGGGCCACATTAGCTTGGTCTCCATATCGACGAGTTAATTAATCGTTCACGTTTATTGCAAGTTATGCAAGGACCGGAAATGAAAATTTTGCCAAAATCCACTTAGTCGGACTCTCGATGTTATTGAATTTTAATTAGTCTTAACTCAAAAATAGTTTTATCATCCAGGTCAGATTGAATTAAAATGTAGACCACACCGGGCTTCAGTGAGTTGCATGATTTTTGATGCGACAAATCTGTATTTTATCGTTAAATATAAGTTGGGCATTTTGAAACACATTCATTCTGAATGTAAATAGCATCGCAGATTGTATTGTCATAAGCAATAGGATCTTTATACAACATTTCGAGAATACCAGCATATCCTAAATAAGAACTTTATTCGCCAAATTTTTTTTAAGTTGTCGAGGGAGTTGTGGTAGTTGAATTTTACCACAATTATATGAATAGACGCCATGTTCCTTGCTTTCCAAACGGCTTCATATCCGAGGTTTCATCCACACCCGTAGCGAGATTCAAACCCTGGTTGTGGTAGTGCAGCACATGGTCTTGACACACTAGCCACTACATTACACTGCCATTTGGCAGAAGGGAATTTCAAGTAAAGCCAAGCTTTGTCGATGAACTAAAGTTGTATTTGCTATTAAATTAGACCATATGAGTTATTTTCATCTTTAACTAGGTTTTCGGGACCACAAGGATAGGATTCTTCCTATTTTGTTAACACAACGATAAGAATCGGCCTCGTGTTTCTATTGAATTTAGCACACACCTGCTTCTCAAAAGATATTTCCATCTCAACTAGGGTAGATCGCAGTTTCAGCTTCGCTTCAACTGGACTTATCAGCATACGGCGTGACTTCAATTCGAGTTGTTTTAGTGCAGCTTATATAGTCCGAAACGTTAACCTCTACACCAACACTACTTATAGCCGAAAATGAGTAGTGTATTATATTGCTATAGCAAATACAAATTTGCTTCATTAAAAATCCCACCGGATTATGTGATATGGGAAAAGGCCTGGCGTTTCTTGAAATTCACATCTTTTCCCTGACCCGAGGGCACTCTTGGCAGTGTGGCACTACCTCAATCCGGGTTCGAATCCCGTTGGGGTGCTGATGTGACCTGGGCGAGGTGGAAAATGCAGTCCATCCTTCTAAGAAGCAAGGTTATGTAAAATTCCGTGGTGGTAAAATTGTAGGTGAATTCAGTTATCAGTCCTTCATTAGCCTGAACGAAATAGGGTGAATATAGTAATTATTTAAAACAAACAATTTCATCTTATCTTTAATTTCTAACAAATGCTGTTTGAAACTTAGCGGACTTGGGGTAACGAATGTTCTTGTTCAAGAAATTTCGATAGCTTTAAAACACAAATCGCGTTGACAAAAGCAGGCTCCTAAAAAATTTTTCAATTTGATATATTTTTTTATTGAACCTCCTTACAAGACAATAAATTCAATGTAAGAATTTTTTTATAGCATACTCATTCGGAATACAAGTAGCATTTGTGATTGCAATGACAAACACTTTTGTCTCATCAACGGTCGCATCATGAATGTTATTTGGTAGCCCAAGGGTCATGTGGTAACTAATGGTCTTATTCAATAAATATTACAAGCATTAATACATACAACCATTTAAAAATGCAAGCTTTGCTAAATTTGCCACAACAACATGGAATCTTTATCAATCCTTGTAAAAAGCTACGAAATTGCTGCATGTTGGCCACTACCAGAGCCCTGGTAACTGTGCCAAATCGAGTCTTAAACACCATTAAGTTATGCTAACAGCTCCAAAATGGTAGAATTTGTGGAAATAGTTGTCAGAGGCGGAGACTAACTGGTAATCCAAGAAAAGTGGCCGGCTGAGATTCCACTTACTCATAATAGCTCACTTTGAAATCTTCATCAGGCATTCCATGATTTTTCGTTTATGTGTAGAGTTTCAAGCTTCATTCATAAAATTGTGGAAAAATTCAACCATCAGTCCTTCAGCACCTTAAACGAAATAAGGTGAATACATTTCACATAAGTAATTTACTAATATTATCAAAAAGCGATATGTAAACGAAAAATAAGTAATGTAGACTATTGTTATCCAAATACAATTTTGCTTCATCAACAAGCTCACCAATGAATGTAAAATAGGAAGAGGCCTGGCATTCCTTGGAAGTGACACTGTGGCCGAGTGGCGAATGTGTCATGTTCATATGCAGGCCTCTGTGAAATTCAATGGAAAAGTCAGCTCTAATCATACATTGTGGGTTAATTCTACTCCTAGTCCATTATGAACTTGAACGAAAAAGAGTGAATACATCTCATATAACTAATTTACTGGTAGTTTCAAAGCATACTTATAAGCGAGATATATACATGTGAGATGTTTTCACCCTATTCAGTTTAAGGCGATGAAGGACTGCTAGTTGAACTTTCCCACAATGCTATGAATAGAGCCTTAAACTGTATTTATGAACGAAAAATTG